AAATGTCAGCCATCTATATAGCACTAATGGGTCTCTCACCTTAATGATCTTGTCAGTTTTTCAAGTGCGCATGCACTGACTGAGTGTTGGGCCTGGGAAAACAAAAACAAAAATCAAAAACAAAACAAAGCCTTAAGCCAAGCTTGGCGCTGAGAGTGGAACGCTTTGCAGAGGCAGTGGGGAAGTGTTGACGTCAGAACTAGGCTTGGCTGATCTGATTCTATGCCTTTGAAGAGTACAATATTTCGTCAATCAAATGGCATAGCATGCAAATGCTTGGAGACCAACAACCCAACAAGAATACTTAAAAAGCTGCAACCCACATAAAGGCACCGATTATTGTTTTGGCCAGCCATGCATGGCCCAATTGGCTTATTCATGCAAATTTACTGATAGAAAATCATCTATTCTGGGTAAAAAATGAAGAAATCAAACATGGATTTAAAAAAGGGCAGCTCTAGAGGAAACCCCTTCAGCCTTAACTGCATGGTCCAGTTAATGGCAAGTATTGTACCACAAAGAATGTCATAACTCATTGAAAAAGAAAATTTTTTGTCTGTTAACTTGTTATAATTTTTTTATTCATCAAAGCTACGAAAAATTTGCTTTATTTCAACGCGTTAAAACTGCATGGTCCAGTTAATGGCAAGTATTGTACCACAAAGAATGTCATAACTCATTGAAAAAGAAAAATTTTGTCTGTCAACTGGTTATAATTTTTTCATTCATCAATGCTACGAAAAATTTGCTTTATTTCAACGCTTTAAAAGGGAAAATGTTTCGTAGCATTGATGAATGAAAAAATTAGAAGAGGTCTGTACCTTACCTTTTAATATAAGTGTAATTCATGTTTTTTTCTTCTAMTGTGACGTGGTATATCTTCTTAACAGACATAGAGATTTGAAAATATCGCTGCAGCAACAAATTACTTAATAGAGGAAAAGCAAAAAAATAATATTTTTTTATGCAAAGCTTCTCCGACATGCGTACTAGACGTCTTACACAGGGATCCCAACATTTTTCTTTGCTTGTTCAGTTCCTTTCTTTCTTGTTTAGATAGA